AGGACATAGAGGAAGAAACAGGTAAAAAAAGCAAGCCCTGGACCTACCCTTTTAATTGGTAGACCATTGCCACCTACCTGAAGCATTTTAAAAGAAACAAAATTACGGATCAGCACTGCAAAGTAATGAGTCTGAATCTGGTGTTGCTGAAGTCACATTGCCTTCCTCCCTGTTTTTCAAAGGCAAGAACAAACCTTATGCTTTCTTGTGTTGAACTCCTCAGAGGCCTCATATTCAAGTTTTATGTAGCCTTTCTGACTTATGAAGTAAGATTTGTTTAAAAACAAAATGAAAAGAAAGCATGGAAAGGAAAAAAAACAAACAACCCACCATGAAAAGTCTTACACTGACTTCTGACGGATACTAAATATCTCAAAATTCACTTTGAATCTGCAAAGGTTGACAACACCACAGGGGAATGAAATCCAGGTAGCCACCAACCATTACAACCTGACAGGCCCTCTTAAATCACAGCAACAAAACCAACATCTTACCTGAAGACTTCATAGTGTTAAGAAGACAGTTGCTTTCCTGGGGCACTTATTTGAGGCTTAGAAGTGGTAGTAAGGCCCTAGGACACTTGCCTTTTGCACCCAGATGAGAGCTGCTTTGTCCTGCTAACAATTAATTCAGGGTGGGAATAGGTCCACTTCTTCCATAGCAAGTTAACCCTGCTCCTGTCTGGGTGCTGTGCTTCAAAAGCAAAATATCAGATACATGCAGGATCAAGAGATGGAAAGAAGGAGAAAAATGAACAAGGGTAGTCAAGATGAAACCCATTCCCTGTGGTGCATGCCTGGGTTGCACAAAAGAGAAGGAGAAGCAGGCTGTAAAAGAAGAATGCAAACAGCCCCAGAGCTCCCAACTGCTCTTAGGCATTTGGGGAACTTGGATTTAACAGGAATAAAGAAATTTCCTTCCCTGCACCGAGTCAGGGAAAGAGCTTTCAGCACAGTCTTGGAATACCCATTTACACCTCATATATTCACTTCCATCAGGCAGTATTTGCTCCTCACCACCTCCCTGGTGGCTTCTCCATGGGAGTCATGGCCCCCAGAGGGGGACACAAGGATCCCAAATGGCCTGGAGACAGATTTCTGCCTGTGGGCATGATCAGCATCTGGTAGTGGCATGTAAGGGGCACAACTACTTCAGAGATCTTGAGATTTCAGAGGTTCAAGACGACTCTGTTCTGGGCAGAAAATACCCATGGCTGGTGTAAAGCACACATGAGAACCAGAGTCAACAACTGACTGTGCAGCTGCAGTGATCAGAACATGCTGATTCTCTGAAGAGATTTTGTGAGTTGTTTTTTTCTTAAAACACCCACAGGAGACTGAGCCTAAAGTCCTGAAACTTCACCCCACTCTTCCTTTCACTGTTTCCACTTTGCTTTGTGTTTCTACCATGATAATTAACTAGCAAGGCATTTCATCTATATACAGGCTTCTATTTTGCATTTTTTTTTGTATATCCTTATTCCTTCCTCTTTTTCCCTATGTTTTCCCGCCCTCTTGTTTACTTTCTTCATGTGTAATTAGGAATTGAAGTGGTGCATCTGCTGTTCGAATAAAAGCGGAGAATAGTGTAAAGTTAGGGAAATGTTTAGATTAGAAATGGCTGAAATTTGGGGTGTTTGTTTTCTGGAAGATTCCATTTGGTAGCTGGTGAAGGGTTTAGAGCACAAGTTTTATGAGGAGCGACTACAGGAGCTGGAAGTTTTTAGCCTGAGGAAAAGGAGGCTCAAGGGGAACCTTATTCTTCTCTGCAACTATCTGAAAGGAGGTTGTAACCAAGTGAATGTTGGTCTCCTCCTAAGTAACAAGCAATAAGACAAGAGGAAATGGCCTCAAGTTGCCCAGGAAAGGTTGAGATTGGATATTAGGAAAAATTTCTTCATTGAAAAGGTGATCAGGGAAGTGGTGCAGTGACAATCCCTGGAGGTAATTGAAAGACATGTAGATGTGGTGCTTAGGGATGTGGTTTAGCAGTGGTCTTGGCAGTGTTGGAATAATGGTTGGACTCAATGATCTTAAGCGTCTTTTTCAACATAAATGATTCTATGATTCTGTGATTTAAAAGTACGTTGTTACTTTTGTCTGGAAGTAGGCCCCTTTTTTTATCCCTGTCAGATCTTGTATAGATGAGAGTAGGAAATGCCAACATACAATACTTTTGAAATGAAGAATTCACCTCAGAATGGATACCAGCTGTTGCTGAATCAGCTGAGAGCCTCATGCATTGCCACACTGCAGCTGACGGTATCTGTGACTCCGGGACTGCTTTTGGGAGCCGACTGCCTTGGCACAGGTGCTCCACACTGCATGGACTAGCCAGTTCCCAGCTTTGCTGCTTTGGGATCTGGGCAGGGTGGAAAACCTAGTAGCCCCTCTCCAAGAGGCTACTTGTATGGCATAGCTGCACTAGAGATGTGAGAGATGGAGGCATGGCCCTCCAGCAGCTTGCCAGAAAGTCCAGGCGAACCCCTGTAAATTTGAAGAATCTTTTTTAAACCCTAGGGGTTTTCACCAGTTAGTTTAAATTTGATGAATCAGTATTTTTATGCGAAACCAAAATTTTATCAGAAAAGTCCTGACAGATTCTAGCTGGAAGCAGTGTGACTGGAGTACTTGTGTGAGCCTGCTTGAACATAGACTCAAATGTGATTTGCCCACTTGCTTCAGTGAAAAGACAACACAAGTAATTTTTGGGTACATCAGTCAGATAGCTGCGTGCCACCTGAGAAGTTTAAATTGGAAACAATGTAGTGAGAACCAACAATAACCAGACTGGCCGGAGGGAAGGGATGTGAGCTGGGTAGTTTCAGAGGTGGAAGGCCAAGGAGATGAAGTTGACACATCACACAAACATGTCCTCTCTTTTCCAGCAGGTTATATGTCACAGGCAGAGACTGAGGGCACAGTTAGAGGTCAGTGAGGTAAAGCTAATGCTTTTGTCTTCCCCTTGCTGTGCTGCTCCAGCAAGTCCTGTTGTTTCTAAGGAAAAATTCCTTTTGAGAAGCCATTGGGAGCCAAGGAAGTGGAAGAATTAAGCAGTTTGTTTTATTAAACGAGCTGGGAAAAGTATCATCCTTGTCTGTAATTTAGGTATCTTTGTGGCCATGTCTATCAGATTTTGAAAAAGACAAAGATGATAAGATTCACATTTCAAGGTGATGGAAAGTGTGGCAGGGCCTTTGGAAGAACCTGAGACCCCCAAGACAAGCCAGGAGACTTGGCTGTACTGCTTATGTCTGGGTTAGAAGCTGCAAAAATATTTTTGAAAGGAGATGACTGCATTTGAGCCCTGGGTCTCCACAGTAGCACTGAGAAGAGAGCTCTAAATGGTGTTCCACTGATTTGGAGACAGGGTGCTTTTATGCCACCTGAGGATTCAGCCTGCTTTATCTCCCCTGCTTTTCTTCTCCTCTTTTCATTTTCTTTTCCATTCCCCTAGTACTTTCCCTCCTTGGCACTGTGACTCTTTTTAGTGACTCCTTTTCATGAGTGAAGGTCAGCATGTTCAAAATTGGCTGATGATATGTGCTCAAGGGCCTCCCTGGAGCTCTCTTCAAAGGATCTAATTTTCAGAGGTGATGAGCAGCTCTTACTGGTTCCAATGCCATGATAAGTGCCCAAAACCCATGAAAACCAGGCTGCTTACAAATGCTTTCAGGTAAGGGACCCCAAGAAAAAGTAATTTAAGATTAGTGAGCAGTTTTGGAAGTTTGGTCTAGGTGTTGAAAGTTTTATATTATTTGAAGGTAGCCAAGTACTTGCTTGACATAAGTACCTAGAATTGTTGAGCTGCAAGTTGAATTTTATCTGAACTATATGGCTGTGTTGTGTAAGTCAAGGACAGATTGTAGGGAAATTTGAAGCTAACAGTCTGAACATTAATAATAGTTAGAGAAGACTCAGCTGTAGCTTAAATATTACTTAAAAATTAATAGATAGAGTGGACAGCCCATAGGTCATGGGTATATGAACTGTAGAAAACATATTATATTGACTACAGAACTGACCAAAACCCCCACTGAAACTGATGTAAGGAGGAAGTGAAGATGAGCACAAGACAACCACTCGGCAACAAAGCACCAAACCAATGAAGGGTGTGAAAACCCCAGACTCTAATAATGCTGTTGGTCCAGACTGTCACATGAGGGATGGGGAGTTTAGGCTGTAAGGGTATCATTGCCCAGGCATTTCTTTGCTTGGGGTCCCTCTTTTGAGACACCAAGCTCGAGCTACCAAATACCATAATTGATCTCTTCCAATAAACCTACCTAATGGAGTTGATAGCCTAGTGTCAAAAATTTCTGTAGCATTAGGATTTCTTACTTTGGATGAATTCCTTTGTCTTTCTTACCTAGTAAACCCATTTTTAGTCTTCTGTTTTCCTGTTTTGCTTAAGTTTGCCACTTCTTATGGTCTCTTCCCCTTGTCATGATCTAAGCCCCTCTACTTGTGCTTGTCCTGTCAGTTTTCCACTACTATTCCTGGTAATATCCAGTGATGATGTGCTAAGGCAATTTCTCTGCTCTAGGGAGATTTCAGGAAAATTGTCTGCAGAGGTAATTTAGCCACTCTCAAGTAAAAATCAACTACTTTGCATTACAATGTATAGGAAACATATCTAAGGGCTTATTTCTGTTGAAAAAGAAATAAAAGTTAGAGACCATTTTTCATGAGGTGTATGGGATCATGAGACAGATACTGGTAGAAGTAAAACTTTTTATTTGGGCACTTTTGTCCCATTCTCTACAGCTTGGCATCAACAGCAGGACAGGTAAGGTAAGGGAATTAAGTTGCCAACCAGCCACCTTCTCCCTGCTCCCCACCACCTTGGAGTACAAAATATTCATGTAATAATTAGATTACTCTTTCAGCATCACTGGGGTTCACTGTCCCCTTGGAACAGCTCTAAAAAAGACATTTTCCCTTGAGTTTTCTGCTGAATGAACTGAACACTGACCTACTATGGTTTGTTTTTTCTTACAGGAATGAAACTGTTTTACACCAGTTCTGTTGCCCAGCAGCTGATGCGGAGCAGAAGCCTTCATCTCCAGACTCCTCACCAAGGTGGGAAATTGCTGCCAGTCAGACCTTTATTTTTCCTGCTTCCTTATCATCCATTACTAATCTTCTTGCCCCAGACAAAACTCACATATTATACATGCCAATCCTCCACCACCCTTATGTCCCATGTCCCCAGCACTGCTGTCTATCTCTTTTCCCTCCCAGAGATTACTGTTTGTACTGTTGTGTAATTGCTTGCAAACCCTCTCTGGCCTCCACTGTCACACACCCATTCACTTCCAAAAATGTATTTTCAGCCTCTCTTCAAACATCTACTTCCATCAATCCGCATTCACACTTGTACCTTTTCACTGTGACACCCACATACACATGCTTCACTCTTCTCCTTCAAATTAGCTACCCCACACTATAAGGTTCCTGGACACAGTATAGATCCATAACCTCCAAGCTACAGCAAAAGTCACCAAACTCAGGGTTCTGTCTCTCACCCTGAGACAGGGTAGGGGGAGCAGTTATACATGTGTTGAAATGGTCTGAGCTTGACAGCAGAGAACAATTATAGACGGGTACTATTAACTATCACCAACTTGTATCCAGTCCAGGCAGGTGTGGGGACACCAGCAATTCCCATAGCTCTCCCCCATCAGTGAGAGACGTCAGTGCCAAGAGCAAGGGGTCCAAGGAGCTTCAAAAGTACTTGAGATGCAGGTACTGCATATAACTTCTGTGCTTGGCCTTGTCCTTCTGTTCTTGCCATGTCCTTCTCTTCTCACAGCTTCCCACACTTCCATCTTACAGACCATCTCCTTTTTCTCAGGCCCCATCACCATTCTGTCAACAGCAAAGTGTTTTCTCTTTAAAGATTTCTCTCATCACACTGCTAGACTTTTACATCTGACCTTTGGTAAGAAGCCTGAGTTACTAGGGAGGGCTCTGAACTGGGCAGCTGAATTGCATTAGTGAGACTACAGCATTTTTAAAATTATATTTCTCTTGTTTGTTCTGCTCACTGGAGCACACTGTAGTTTCTGATTCCCTTCCAAGAAAAAAATATGAGTGCTGGACAACTGTGAAGAGAACAGGGGTGAGTGGGTGGGTGTGTATGTTTGAAAGTAGAGTTCAGCCATGCTTGGAGACAGGGTAAAGAAGCAGGACCCCTCCTACCCATTTGTGTATGAAAATGGAAGGGGTAACCCCCATGACGTCTGTGCAAAGGGCTCTCAAGCATTGGTAAAGTTTGCATGACAACCTGTGCACCTCCATGGCAGATGGGAGATGCTGGCAAGGAAGAGAAGGAGACGGCAGAGGAGGAGACTACAGATATTTCTGTGGTCAGCCACCTCTCCCTTGCGTTTCTGGAGTGAGACAGTTTTGGTTAAGCGTTCTATTTTGTCTGAATCAAGCCTCAATTTTGTCATGGTGTTCTATCTTCATACTTGAAGGGTCATACTTGACCCCGCCCCATTCTTGTCTCAGCCTCCATCTTACTTCTGATCAGTTCCTTTGGTTTCTAGTATTTTCTTGTTCTACAAGGCTGACATTCTTACAGTCTTTGGCTCTAGGGTTGTTTTTGTCAAGTTCTTGATCAGGCCTTCCTTTCATCCTGGTGACTCTCAAAGGCCCTGCCCATCCCTTGAGCCTGAGTTTGTCTGCCCTCCTACTGCTGGGATTTGACAGGTAAATTGAAGAAGAAGCAATCATTTGTTTCAGTAATTTAACAACTTTGGCAAGTTGCATCCAAAGATGAGTCTGAGCCAGGAAATTCCGAAGTGTGGGTGAATGACAACAACCTCAACTGCTTGTTGCATCTGGGCTTCCAGTTAAGGGGCTTCTCCTACTGATCTATGCCTGTCCATTTTATGCCTTTTGTAGCTTGTCCCACTCTGCAGGCCTCATGCTTTCCTTACTTTTTTCCCAGGACTTTCTTGCATCCTCTCCATTTCTAATGCCTCCAGATTCCAATAGCAGTCCTGAATTTGTTTGTGTGTGACACAATATGCTGTGCAGACATAAAAAAGGTTGAAACCAGCACAGCTATTCGAAAGTGAAAAACAGACACACAGAATATTTTGCTCTTTGAAACAGAGCACCTTTTAAGTGTGATCTCCCTACCTGACCATCTCAGGAGAGAAGAGCATCACTACTTCCCACATTGTGCCAGAAGAAAAGCAGAGCACATGCAGCACTGTTAAACTTACCAGTCAGCTTTATGCTGGCCAGAAAACATCTCCTAGTCTCTACCAGGTCCTGCAGTCAGCCATGGGCTTCTTTCATGTCTGAAGTTACATATACACTGCAGTGAGGAAGGCAAAAGAATGGCAGGGAGGGAAAAACTCAGGGTCACTGTGGAGCTGATGTCCATGTGATGTTCTGAAATGGCTCACTATGCTGCTTGGAGAAGCTCATCAGATTATTTACAGAGCCTGCCACGCTGCTCAAATCATGAACAAGCTCCCCATGGAACCAAGGCAGAACAAAAGTCAATCAAGACTGAAATGTGTGGGTCAGACAGCCTGAATAGGCAATCAGTTCCTGGGTGAGCCAAGCATATCCCTAAATAAGCTCGTCAGGTCTCCTGATGGGAGAACCTGGTACATAGGGGCTCCTTGTGCAGCTTTTCTGTGTCCCACTGAATGGACAGCCAGTCACAAGTAGTGCTGTGTTGAATTTTGATAAACCAGCTTGGGTTTATTCTATCTTTCCCTCTTCCATGATAGTTTTCCTAAATGAGATAAATCCTGTCAAAACTGATGCCACTAATAACCATCAACTATCTAGTTTTAATTAGAGTTTGCTTCATTAATGCCCCAACTCCTCTCTTCACAGCAGATTAAATAATGTACTTGCAGCTCATTTACACAAACCCCAAACTGCAAGGCTGAGCTGCAATCCTTTAATTAAACAGCCCGGCTGATCCCTGCCGCTGCCTCGGCTCATCAGTCTAAGCCGATTAAAGAGAATAGGGACTAATAAAGAGCATAAACAGGGAAGTGACTCTCATCTCTTCAAGGGACTTGGAGGCTCCAGCGGTGATCGGCTGCTTTCTTCTCCTCTACCTCAGCCCACATCCTGTCCTTCTGGGACTTGCAAGAATGGTCCTGCTTTCAGTAGGAACCCAGCCTCATCTTGTGGGACAGGAATCCTTTGGGAGGCTGAGGGAACATGGCCAGCAGGAGGGTGGCACAGCAGGCAAGGTGAAGATAAAAAGGGACATCAAAGCAGTAAGACAAGTGAGTGCCTGACTCCAGGAGAGACCAGCAAGAGCAGCCATGCAGCTCAAGTGAGGGGCAGAAGAGGAAGGAAATGCAGGGAATGACAGTAGGAAGTTGGCTGTCAGGAACAATCTAGGACAAAAATTTGTCTCTACTTGTGATGGTCACTGTCGTTCTTGTCTGGTCTTCCCTAATGTTTGTCTGCAAGATTTCTGACTCTTTCTTTGCTACCAATCTAGCTAAAAATGCCTTGGCTTCACATGGATGGGACTGATTAGGAACATGTCAGTGTCTAACCACTCAGCAGAAGCCAGCTCAATGAGGTGATTGGGATTATTCCCACTCATATTGTTCTGCTTTGCTTCACTGATTGCCACAAGCAGAGCTAGCCCCCTTCTCTCCTGCAGCATGTGAATTCCTCGTGGGGAAGTTACAGCTCCATGAGTTTAGCAATGCAAATTTCCCACCTGGCTGCTTAGCTGGGTTGCACCAGCAATTAGCAAGACTGGTGCTGTAGGCCATGAGTATTAAGAGACAGATTTGATCCCAGATTTTGCCAAGAAGCTCAGAGCCAAAGTACAAGATGAGGTGATGGCAGCAGAAGGCAGATTCCTGTTGCTGAACTCTAAGGGCTTTCCCATTTCAAAGTGCAGTATAAATCCTGTATATGGACCACCATTGTCTCCAATGGACTTGTACACTACTGGCTTCATGACCATAAGCCATCTTGCAGTTGGGTTTCCATTGAGTATGCCAAAGATCAGGTTAAGTGACAGGGAGAAACTCCATGGATGGCAGTAGGAGCTGACTCTGCCCCTTTACTGAGGTGCTGATCAGACTCTGATTTAGCCAAACCCTGTAATTTCATAAAGCAACTGCTCTTTTTCTTGCTGGCTTCTGCCTGTTAACAGTGGGGTTTCATTCTGGGGATTTGAATAGCCTAGTAATTGCATTTCCAGCCTCTCCCAGTCTCACACAGTAGAGACTGGCATCCCAGAACAATGACCTTAAAATGTGTCCAGCAGCAGCCCAGCTCTAACAGGATTACATACCATTTTCCTTTGTGTGAGGTAATAGGGCTGAGATGAGAAAGATTTGTTTCTATTAGAGTAATGAGAGGAAATGATGGAGTCACAATTGGAGGGAACAGTATATTCATTCAGTTGCCTTTCACAGGCTTTTCGGAGCCTGCCTCTGGCTCCCCTGTGGTGCTGAATAGGAAATCATCAGAAAATCACCTCTCCTCCAGCAATGGGAAAAGTTCTACACAAAACTTTAAGCGCTTGGGGCAGGTCCACTTTGGCAATGGACATGGGGATAGCACTGGAGTGCTGAAGCATCATGTCACAAGGGAGACTGGATGGGATCTGGGTACATTTCTGTAAAGGGCAGGATCAAATCCCAGAATAAATCTTCGGGAAGGGAGGATGTTCTGCTGCATTTGTGGGAAAGTCCTTGCTATCTGTAACAAGTGCAGATGAGGCCTGACCTGCTTTTTAGGCAAAGGAACCAGAGTCCTTCCAGGAAGAGGGAGCAGTCTTCTAGAAGGGCTTGGAGGTGTACTGAGCAGAAGGGCTAGGGTCTGAAACATCTATGGAAAAGTTCATATTTTCCCATAATATTTCCACACTTTTGAGTAGGGAGACTGCTGCTTAGATCAGAATTCAAACACGATTAGTGCAACTGGCGAAGTGTTTACTTCATGATTACAGACCAATGAAATTGTAACTCAATATAGTTGAGACTTCAGACAGCTGTGGACTCATTTCTAAAGTGCCTGCTGGATTAGTCGTTGTAGCCGGTTGGTTGCTTCCTGGCATCACAGCACCA